CCAAGTGGGAATCAGAAACTGAAACTGTGGGAAGCAGAAACACGAACAAAAGTACAATTCATAGCAGTAGCATATCCAAAACATGTACACAGAGGCATAAACACAAAAGCTTTGTTGCACTTGTAGATCTAAATGCTAACCTGTAAATCGGAAGAAGAAGAAAAGAGAAGAAACAATGGTTCCCACTCACGTGGCCTCCAAACCACAAATATATTGCAAGTATGTGACTTTGTGGGCCAACTAGCTTAACAAATGGTGGACTAATATTCGTGGGGAGTAGGAAATATCTTATAAAATTTGCACCAAATTAGTATTTTATTAAATCTTGCACCAGGCTAAAGCCCACTCTAGTCTACATGTAGTTCCGCCCTTGGAAGTTACTGATGAGAGAGAGGGGGCAAGAGAGCTTCAAGCTTCTGCTATGGAGGCTTGAAGCTTGAACTCGACCAGAAGGAGCTTTAGAGCAAGCGGCGCTCGAGCGATGAGACGAGTAGAAAAAAAATTCGAAAAAAATAGACTTTTTATGTTTTCTAATTTGTTGGTGTTTTTGAGTTTATTTTGGGTTCAAGTTTTTAAAAATGGCATACCAAACGGGTTTCTTTGACTTTTAACTTAAAATTTATTTTTGAGTTTATAAAATTGGATTCAAATCCAATACCAAACAGACCTTTAGGGCCTGTTTGGTATTCAACTTGAATCCAACTTTTTAAACTCAAAAACAGAATTTGAGTCAAAAACAAAGAAAACCTGTTTGGTAGCCCTATTTTTAAAAACTCAAACTCAAGAACAACTAAAAAACACCTCAATTATTAAAAACAAAAAATATCTGTTTTTTTAGTTTTTTTTTAACAACCCACAAGTTCTCACATTTTTAAGATTTGAAAACGGTTTACAAGTTGGATACCAAACAAGTTTTTGAATCTAAAAAATAGATTTAAGAACTCCTTGTTTTTAAGAAAAATCAAAGTTTTTGAATTCCCTATTTGAATAGGGGCGACCCCTTAGTTTTTTGAACTTTTTTATATTTTAAGTTGCTTTGAATGTTTTTAATTTTATTTTATACAAGCTTTGATTTTTTTTTTATTTATAATTTTTATAAGTGTTTTGAATGTTTAATTTAGTTTTATGTGATTATATTTGAAGGGAAAAAAATACCCAAAATTTAGGTGTTATTTCTTTGTTTATTAATTAAATTATTAAATTTGAACTTTTCATGCTTGAGTGTGATTGATCATATTTTTAGTTTCTTTATTGATATTGCATCTATCTTGATGTGGTGATTGTTGAGTTTTTTTTTTTTTTTAAAGAACCTTGACGGAAACTTTATTGATAAAACGAGGAATTACAACGGGGGAACAACAAGCCTGATCCTGACTCAACAAATCACATAATAAGGTGTTCTACATAAGATCAGGAGGTACCTCAAACCAAATAAAAATGTCCACATTATGTAGACCGAATCGAGCAAGTTAGTGTGCAACACCATTTGCTTCCCTATGAGTAAATTGAAAAGGAGAGCCAGGAATCTCAAATAAAGTTGTGATTTTTGTTGTCATTAATTGCTTTTATTATAAAATTTAAAACTCTGGAAACCTTAAAAATTACAACAACAAAAAAAGAAAAAGAAGACATTGCTCTACAAACCAATGATTAGTTTATAAAATAAAATAAACTACATTTTTAGTGATTAATGTGTGTGTACATGAGCACACTTTAGACTTTCGCCTTGGACCTTTGAGAGTTGAGAACGGTACCTTTCATAATAAAATTGAATATCCCTCATAAATTAATAACAATCTTGTTTTATTTTGTAATTGTTAATTATGCTATGTAATAGCTAATTTCTATTGTTGGTGATTGCTTAATTCTTTAAAACATAAAATATATTTTCATTTTAAATAATTCCAAGCCAATGAAAGATGTCTTTTTTTTGTAAAACGACCTGTCGTTCTTTTCCCGCCAGCAAAATACCAGTTTTTTTTTTTGGGGGTAAAAAATACAAGAAGATACAGATATTCTGTGTCTGAAACTCATAAAAAGAAAAGAAAAAGATATTTTTGGAAAGCAGAAGAAGAAGAAGAAGATAATGATACTGATAATAAATAATTCCGTATAAGGGTTTTAGGGTATATTCTTTATCTCTCTAAAAATGGTACCTTTCTCTCTCTGCCCCTCCTCCTCCTATCCTCCTTCTTCTTCTTTCAAACTCTACCACAAGTCCCGATTCACTGTAACCACTCTCTCCAGTCTATGTGGTCGTAAAAGAAGGTCCGGTTCCAGCTGCCGTCTCGTGGTGCTCTCAACCCACTCCAACCCCAAAATTCTCAAGTCCAATCGGAGGTCGCGCTATGGCCAGCCTCTGTCTCCCTACGACCAAGATGACGACGAAGAGGTTTCTCGTCCTAGTGATGTGTCGGATGACGATTGGTTGCTCAATGTGAGTTTCTGTACTGCATCTTGTGCTTGAGCTGCTCGACTTTGTGGTTGTCCCTCGAGAAGTGTTTTTCTTGCTTTTGAAAGCAGAAAATTTGGTTTTTTTATAGTTAAAGTTCTACTTGGAATTTGAAGTACCTTTACTTTTGTAAATGTAGTAACATTTGGTTTGTCAGTTTTTTATTAAAATTTGAACTTTAATTTGAGGCATGGATAGTAACAATGGTACAATTATGCTCACTGTGAGGTACCCATGTTTTGAAATACGTTAATTTGTAGTTTTTCTTTGTGGAATTCTTGCGTGTACCCTTCATTTGGTTGCTTAGGAGTTTGAGGTAAATATTTGTTTGTGGGTCTTTTTCTTTTTTCGTTTGAAAAGTTTGTTTGTGTCTTTGGGTTCCTGAAAATGTAAGAAGTGCATGCCAGTTTCTTTCTGATTTACAAAGCAATGTGCAAAGAAAGATTAAGAGTTCAAGCTTTATCCGTTTTCTTTTTGCATTTCATTATTGAAAACATTGCAAAATTGATTCTTGGACTTGTGGTAATTTATTTACATGGAAAGATTAGTTTGGTATAAGTGTTTCTGTGACACAACTACCTTGGGTTTCCTTTGTTTGAAACATCATCTGGCTTTTCTTGTGGGTTGCTTCTCCAGGATGACTTTGCAGAAATTTCAAAGTTTGATGTTAATAGAAAGAGGTCCAAATCACACAAGGGATTTGCGAATGGTCATTCGGATGGCAGAAACAGCAAGCACACTCTAGAGAAAAGTAATGCAGCAAACTACTACAATAGTTCTAATCAAACAAATGGAGTCAGTTCCTTGGATGTACCTCGCAAGGGAAAGGTATCTTGTAGAGTGATATGACGAGCTGTCAAATTCTGTCATCAACTATACTATTTTTCTGGGAAGTGCTCATTTATTTTCTTTGATGCAGCTGTCTACAAGGAAAGCTATGGAGGATAGATTTCCTCGGCTATCAGAAGAGGTTGAATTGGATGAGAAGTGGTTACCTCTTATTGATTACCTTAGCACATTTGGGCTTAAGGAATCACACTTTATTCAAATGTATGAGAGGCATATGCCTTCTCTTCAAATAAATGCGTGCTCTGCAAAGGAAAGGTTGGAATATTTGTTGAGTGTTGGGGTCAAACAAAGAGATGTAAGAAGAATGCTTTTGAGGCAGCCACAAATCCTTGAATATACAGTTGAGAACAATTTGAAGTCCCATGTTGCTTTCCTGATGAGTTTGGGTATTCCAAGTTCCAGAGTCGGGCAGATTATTGCTGCTACTCCATCCCTCTTCTCTTATAGTGTTGAGAATTCGTTGAAACCCACCGTGAGATACTTAGTTGAGGAGGTCGGGATTAAGGAAAAAGATTTAGGTAAAGTTGTGCAGTTAAGCCCTCAAATTCTAGTTCAACGGATTGATATATCATGGAATACTCGTTTGATTTTTCTTTCTGAGGAGATAGGAGCACCCAGAGATAGTATTGTGAAGATGGTTAAAAAACATCCCCAGTTCCTCCACTATAGCATCGATGATGGACTGCTGCCCAGGATCAATTTCCTTAGGAGTATTGGGATGTGCAATGCTGACATTTTGAAAGTCTTAACTAGTCTGACACAGGTCTGCTTACTTTCTTTTATGCCCATGAGAGTACTTTTACATTGTTTCTAATTGCTTGGGATTTATTTGTACTTGTGTCACAAGAAATAGTTTTTCTTTCCATATGCATGTATGTTAGTATGAGTTTCTACTTCTTTTACTGAATTATCATGTTCTTAAGAAGAAAAAAATGGCTTTCTTGCTGCTTCCCACTTAACAAGTTAATTTTCTGAATCTTTGACCATTTTAAAGTTCCCTTTTGTACATTTCTGACATGTAGCCTTGCAGGTACTATCCCTATCACTGGAGGAGAATTTGAAACCCAAGTACAAGTACTTGGTCAATGAACTTCATAATGAAGTGCATTCCTTGACCAAATATCCTATGTACCTAAGCTTGTCTTTAGACCAGAGAATTCGCCCCCGACATAGGTTCTTGCTTTCTCTGAAGAAAGCTCCTAAGGGGCCATTTCCTTTAAGTTCATTGGTCCCCACTGATGAATGCTTCTGCCAGCAGTGGGCTGGAACTAGCTTAGATAAATATCTGGATTTCAGGCAGAGATTACTGCTCAAGGAGTTTGCCAAAAAATATGAAAGAAAGGGATAGCATCTTCTCCGAAAGGATGCCCGAGGTTACTGACAAGTGTTTGATGAGAAGAGCAGCCTCCCTTTGCAACTTTGTCTGCGAATGAATTTCAATGTATGCCACTGTTAACAATAATTTCCATGAAGTTCAGAGTTTCTGGTTATTATAAACCTGGAGTAAGCAAGTTTCCAGGTTGTTGACAGTTACCCGTTGGGATGGTTAGTTTGTTTCTCATGTAGAGTATATAGGTGGTACCTCACTCCACTCCAGTGCTATTAGTTGTTCATACAGGAGCAGCTCCAGTTTTGTATACAACGTTACATTCTCAGATCGAGGCATCTAGATGAGTATTATTTTCGAGGTTCTAACTGCTTGTGACCGAAATGACAATACACGAGAGTCTATGCTTTAAGGTGATTTATTTTTTAATTGAACAAGAAAGGGTGGTTTCCAGGAATAATGGATCTACCTTTAGAATGGTCACATGTTTGATTATTTGTGCTGTATTCCTTTATGCTAGTAGACAAGTACAACATGATACATCTCTTCCTTACCGCCATTGGATGTCCGTATTACATTGTTTGATATGATTTTGTACTTTCTAATGGTTAATTAACTCATTGCAGGTTAGTAGTGTATTTGCATCTTCTCAACTCTCAAGTGGACAAAGGAGAAGCTTTACTAACTGCAGTTGATTTAAAACAGGAGGGTTCGTTCTTCTACTGTATGTGTTGTAAGTCGGATGAGTTTTTGTTACTTGTTCATCCTCAAAATATACCCAGAGAGCAGGACTACAAGCTATGAAACCTTTTACAGGTTTTTTTTTTACTTTTCATTTTTATGCTTTTTTTTCAGCAGGCTGTTATGTATATTTTGGCCCTAGTGCTATGCGCTCAGAAATGAGTTGACTTACTTTTGTTCAAAGCTTACAACACCATGTTTATGGAACTCCTTTGTTTTATTTAGGCAAAACGTCACTGTTGGTCCATGTGGTTTACCACTTTTACCACTAAGGTCCCTGTGGTTTCAATTTGATCATTTTTGCCCTTGTGGTTTTCAATTTAAGCAATTCAAGTCCAATCTCAAATTTCTGTCAAATTAGATTAACTGCTGTTATTTGTTGAGGGGCATTTAAGTCCAAAAACAAGAAAGATAATAAAATAAAATAAATAAATAAAAAAAGATGAAGGGGAAGAGAAGCCGTCAGCCACACCCACCCCCACTAACCCACACGCCCCAATCTGCCCAACCCAGTAAACTCCACCACCTTGATCTTGATGCCATAGCAGAACTTGGCTGCTACTCGAAGGTCTCGGAGCCGCCAGGGAAGTAGGAGACTGCTATTTGACACTGGACTTCTTCTATTTCGTTGTATAAACGGAAAAAAAAAAATCCGATCGAATCAGAAATTGCAGAGTTAGGGAGACTTCCTCGCTTAGCTCATAGCTGCCAGGATGGGATTTTGGCTTAACCACCAATAGCTCTTGTTTCATCTCTCTGCTTCTGGACTAGCTTTTCTTTTGACATGAGAGGAAACTGAGGGCACTTCAATCCGTGCCTTTTGTATTCTTACGCCCTTTATTTGTTGTTTTGTATTCATCCAGTTTTGTTGGCTTGGTTGCATAATTATAACATCTTTTTTCAATCTGTTTAGTGCAAAAGAGCTTTATGATGTATGGGATGGGAGACATGTGATTTGTACAAACATGAGACTCGGGAGAGAAAAAGCCATAGATATATGACCCATATGGATTGTTTGGCTGCTGTTGTTGTGATATTCTTTGAGGAACAAACAAACATCAAAGAGGTTTTTTTTTTTTGGGTCAACCAAGAGAAAGAGTACTAAAAGAGAAACGAGAGATTGGAATCCAAAAAAAGAAAAACGAGAAGGGAGAGAGATGGCAATGGTGGAGTTGTACTGGGTTGAGGAGATGGCGGAGAGTGTGGTGGTTGGCGTGTGGGCTGGTTGTGTTGCTGACGGCCTCTCTTCCCCAATCTTTTGCCCTTTTTTTGGCTCTCTTTCTTGTTTTTGGACTTAAATGCCCCTCAACAAGTAACAGCAGTTAACCTAATTTGACAGAAATTTGAGATTGGACTTGAATTACTTAAATTGAAAACCACAATGGCAAAAATGATCAAATTGAAACCACAGGGACCTTAGTGGTAAAAGTGATAAACCACAGGGATCAAAAGTGACGTTTTGCCTTTTATTTAATCTTGCCTCCTAAAAGGCCGAGTTGTTTTGCTGTTTGGGCTTTTATTAAATCTACCAGACAAAGAAAAGCAAGAGCAGCCAAAATTGCATTGGAATTTGGCAGGGAAAATTTGTCAACTTTCTAGTTTGGAGATTCGACCCAACAAGTCAAGGTCATCATCATATTCGATCAAATTGGATTTAATTGGTTAATTTCAGTGGATTGGATTGAGTTTTAACAAATCCTAATAAATATGAGACGCGATAAGCTAACACGAACTAAATTGGATTGATGCCAAACATATAACTATAGAAACTCAACTTTAACACACTAATAAATATGTAACAATAGTGTTGTATGAAGCAAAATTACTTCTCTTATTTCCACCATAACGTGATTAATAAGCAACTCGAGTTAGTATTTATCTCGTGATGATACATCTAACTTAATAAACATGATTAACATTGATGAGTATTTCATAACTATCATGATGCATCTGCTTAACCTAATTGACTTGTGATTGATTTGTAACTTAAGTGGTTAAGAGCATTTATCCCTGCATTTGAGGTCCTAAATTCAATTCTCGTGGCTTGTATAATATATTTTTTTATTTTTTATTTTTATTTTTAAATGGTTTGACGCATCAACGATTGAATTTAGACACCAATAATAGACCCTTCAACCCAACAAGTGCAAAGATTTAGACAATATGACCACTTCCCTCTTTTGGCATTGATCTGCAAGTCTAAACTAGGCTAGACTCCGTTGACAAACAATATGACCAATTTCCTCCTTATGCTGGTCAACGGTGTACCTATGTTGCAAAGCCACTTGCCTGTGGCAAGTCCTCCAAAAACAAGTGATTGTTTTACCTCAACTTGCGGCCAAGTTGATCCAGTCTGTGGCTAGAAGCTTGCACGTTGTCGGTTTGCTCAATACAAGATTATCATTAAAAAAAACCCAATCATTTATTTCCTTAATAATTGAATTTGGTGGTGTCAATTTCCAGAAAGTTGTTCAAGGAATGAGACAGTGAATGAGACAAACATGGACACTGCATGCAGGTAGTGTTCAGAGTCTTAAAGCTAATGGCTCCAACTTACCAACCGCTACTATATTAGCTTAGTTATGGAGGTCGGTTTGTCTTTCTGTATAGCTTTCTTGTACAAATAATACATGTTTTGAGAATTTTGATAGTGTAGGCGTAGAGCCTTCTTCTTATCTGGATGTCACAATGTTCTTAAAATATATTCTATCTACACAAGTTCAATAAATAAAAAATTATAAAAACTTACATTTTCTTCAAAGTGTTTAGAAAACTAAATGGGGATGTGATAATTGATTCAGAACGTGGGCTAAGATAAAAATAAGGGATCTACACCTAGGAAAACGAGAGATTATGTATCATTGGTCACTTAGAAACACGAGAGATTTTGTATCACCGGTCTTTCACAGTCACGTAATGAGTGTTGTAGGCATAAATGTATATGTAGTCACGTAATGAGTGTTGTAGGCATAAATGTATATGTAAAGGCCTTTTTGTCTTTTGGGTGTCTCTCAAGTTCAAGAAAAACGGATTAGGGTTCTAAAATTTTAAGAAAGTACATTATATAATTTCTAAATGATTCAAACGGATAATTTTGTTATGGAAACACTTTGGCTTTAGGAAGAAGACGAGTTAATAGAAAATGAATTTATGCTTTTAATACGTATTCGTTAGCAAAATCATAAAAATTACAAGAAAATTCTGAGCTGCATGCTCTGGAGTCTCAAAGACAGTGCTCCCTCTGAACCAAGCATTGTCATGTGGAAAGATAACTGCAGTTTAATCTTTCCAATCAACACATCGAATTCATGGAAAAAAAAACAAGGGATTATAAAACTGGTATATCTGCCACTTGACTTATAGTTCAAGTAATTTCATCTTTGCTCAATGTTACAGAGATTTTCAAGATATTTAAAACTCTCTGACACATTTGAAATATTCTAGATCCTTTCTTCAACTAAAAGACTAAAACATTACATCAGATTCTAATAAAGATCTAAATCCCTTGCCTTATTTCTGTGACTAACATTAAGAAACTGTAAATCTTTCTTACATATACTTCTATGTATCCAATTCTTCTTTTCTACGTCCGTCAACCCGAGTGATAGGGAGGAGTGTCATCTAATGTTTCTTCTGTAGGCAGTATGTACTTGCAGGAAACTTTGGCAAAACGCGGATGAAGCCAAAGAAAAGGAAAGAAAGAGAGCTGTTATGTGTCGAACCAAATATGTCGCCTTTGAACGGTACCTAACTCTATAATCTTCTCTGTGTTGCTGAACCTATATGACTGCTGAAATGCCACTAGCTACTGAAGTTGCAAATGGGCTATCTGGGAGATTAAGTCCTTGGCTGTTCTAAGCAAGAAAGGGAGACCCTTGTCAGAAAAAGCAATGCAAATATAGTAAAGAAACAATAAGAACTTGAGATCCTCCAGCAGAAGGAGATAACTTATACCTTTCGTGGTCAGTGTAATTGGTGTCTATATGCTTGTGTTTATCATCACTTGTAGACCCACTGTTTAGAACATCAAACAGATAATTGAAACATTCCACAGACGGGAAGTTAAAATTATCTGCATTAATTACAACAGTAAGAAACATACTAAACAAGAAAAGAGAAGTTAATGGAAAAGAAAATTGCTCCCTATGTGGAGAAGTTAATAGTGGATAGAAACTACAGACCTTCTGAGAATTTGTGCCCATCCATGAAGTAACTAGAATGGGGATGATTAGCCACAGGCTTTCGTGCAAAATGCAGCTCTGCCAGCCTCATCCTCTCAAGTTCAATCGCATATTCTTGCTCTTCCACAAGCTTCTTCCTTAACAATCTAGAGTTGTCACAGCCTGCTGACACTGAAAATCTATGCATAAGCCAACATAACAACTCTATGACCAATAGACACACCAAAAGAGATGAATTTGATAAAAGAAGAAACAAAGGCAACAAAATAACCAATTATGTAAAGAATCCTCATAGGAGCTTGAAGTCTCCAATCAAAGAAATTTTATGTGCCACTCACTTGAATAAAAATCTGATTCCATGTCTGCGTGGTGTGGAGAAAAATATGCCGCAGGATCCATTCTCTCTTGGTGCTTTCTGCATAAAGCAAAGACAGGTGAGATTGAGAAAGAATTCATTAATATGGATGAGGAAAAGAGTCCTTCCAGCAGCATT